CGCCAGCGTGGCCGGTGGCGCGCCGTGCCCTCCAGCCTCAGCCCCACCAGCACCTACACGCACAGGAACTTGTAGACACAAGAGGCGTCCCCCAGCCCGTGCACATGGCCGGATCCTGAGTCACTCCCAGCTCCTGCCTGCTCGCAGCAAAACTCCTGGAGACTTCTCAGGATCCTCACCCCCCCCCAAAAAAAAAAAGTTTTGAGCCCCTGGGCTGGGTGTCCTTGTCCCACAGGACCAGGGCAAAGCTGGAGCCCTCGGCGTGCCTTGCATCAAATAAACCTGCAGAGCTCTGTCTGCCCATCTGCAGGGGTGGTTTTGGCTCTCCTGGTGCACTCCCAGCAGCGGGTGCTGCCCATGCCCGGTGCCCCTGCCCTCATCTGCCTGAGGACTCCCTGCCTGCTCCAAAACTTGCTGTTAAATCAGCCTGGAAGGAAAATGGAATTTTAAAAAATAAGGATTTTTTAACAATTTATGGTAAAAAATGATGCAAAGGAAGGTCACTTTTAGAAAGCCTGTGCCGAGTTACCCGTATTTGGGGGGCACAAATTGTCTGTATATAGTTCCCTGTAGATACTGAAGGAAGTGGGGTGATTTTTGTAGCTGTTGTGGACTTGTCAGCAGCTGGAGGAACGGCTGAGGCTGAAGCATCCCTGTACAATGGCTCTGTGAGAGGACAGCAGGCAACGTCAGCTCTGTGGAACCTCCGATTTTCCGTGCCAGTGAAATTCTTACAGGCTAAGGAACAAAACAGGATCTCAGAGCAAGAAGGCGAAAGATTTGCAATACTTCCCCCCCCCTCACAGTCCCCCTTCCTGAGAGCCACTGCCACATGCATATAACAGGAGATAAATATTTTTTGGTGGAGCCCGCTGTTTGTTTAACCCTTTTGAGCCCGAGCCCTCTGGCATCCCCTCACTCCTCCAGGCACAAAACCCTGCTGTCCCTGCCTGCTTGGGCTTGGGGCAGCCCAGTCCTTGCCCGCAGCCCCTTGCTGGCCTCCCCCAGCCCTGGCTGCCTTCAGCCCCTCTCTCCGCAGTGCTGCCCTATGAATCCGCCCAGCCCCAAAAGGTCCCCAAAACCGTCTGAGAAGGGGACAACCGGCCCCTTGGAGACTGGGTAGGAAGGGGCCAGGAGGAGGACACAGAGGGCGGCTGGGATGTGGAGTAGGGGATCGGGACCACGGATGGGGACCAGGGGATGCAGAGTAAGGGACCCAAACCCCGACGGTCCCCTCCCGTCCGTCCCCCCCTTTCATAGCCCACCCGGGCCGGGGGAAGCAGCCCCCGGGGAGCTCGTCTTCCCCCCCGGGCTGTTCGTTTGGTAACCGGGGGCAGAATCAAAAGGCGGCCCGGAGCTTCCCGCCGGGGCCGCAGGAGCCAAATACTCGATGGGTTTCCCTTTGCAGCGAGGTGCCCGAGGGCAGAGGGCTGTGAGCCGCCTCCGAGCCCCGGGGGAGGATGCTGCGGCCCGTGAGAGGTGGGGGGAGAGGGGAGGGGGCTAATTTCATTAATTGCCACCCTCCCGATGGACAGAGAGGGACGTGAAGCCAAGATTCCCCTCTCAGGAGGGTGCGCCTCGCCTCTGGTGAGCAGGACCGGGTATGTTTCTGCCCTTCCCTTTCCACTCTTTTTTTTTTTTCTTTTTTTTTTTTTTGTGTGTGTGTGTGTTGTTTTTTAGTTTGTTTGTTTCTTTGTTTGTTTTGTGGTTTTGCTTTTTGTCTCGTGGTTTTGTTGTTGCTGGAGGGGGCTCCTGGCCCCCCTCGGGACCGCGCAGCGCGCTCCCACGCGTCCGCCCCTGCGCAGGGCTCACAAATCAGCCGGAGCGGGATTAGGGCCGAGGGGCCGGGGCGCCGGGCAGTCTGTCCCGGGGCGGGGGAGCCTCACCTGGAGGGGTCAGGCCTCCCCCGGGAGCCGTGCCGTGCCGTGCCGAGCCGCACCGACCCCGCTGCGCAGCGCCCGGCACCGCTCGGAGCCAGCCGGCAGAAAGCTCTGCCTGGACGCCGGGCACGGGGGCCGCGGATCCCTTCCTTACCCCAGGTCCTGCCTCTCACCCTTGCATAAAATTGGTCTGGAAGAGCAGGACAAGGTCCCAGCCAGCCTGCCCAACGGCAAAGGATGGGGCTCGGGGGGCAAACTTCCCGGCGGGTGCCTTCGGGTGGCCACGGGCTCCCCTGGGAGCCTTTCCTCTCGTCCCTGCTCCAGGTGAGGATGGAAGAAGGTTTGGTCTCTCCGAGGAGTCCGGGAAGCACCTGCCCCGGTGCTTCTCTTTGGGTTTCTTGCCTCCGCCTAAGCCTCGCCGTGAACCCGGCTCCGCGTCCACGTCGAGTCCCCCCCACCCCGGGTCTCACCGCGGTCTGGGCACGTCGGGGGGGCCCTCGGTGAGCAGGGAGAGTCAGGGAGACCCTGCCTCATCCCGCAGGGGGTGCCCGCACAGACCGGGCTCCCCGCGTCCCACACCCCGACGTGACTCCTTGGCGGCCGGGCGAGGGCTGCGGTTCACCTAAAGCACCCCCAGGCTCCCCCTAAAGCAGGACCCGGGCACCGAGAACAGCCCAAATTTCTACAAACACCCAAGGCGCAAACACAAGGAAATGTATTTAAGGAGCCGGCTGGCGGACCCCCACGCCGGGAGTCTCACCCCATGGTGTCACCCCCGCACCCAGCGGCTCTGTGTCCAGCTGCGGGTTCACCCCCAAACCCGTACCAAGCTGCACCCACGCGTGAACGTGTCCCCACGGGTGGCAGCAGCCCGGCCCGGTGCCCTGCTCGTCCCGCAACACGCACACAGGGTCTATAAACGCCACAGCCTCCGCGGGGAGGCTGCGGAAAGCTGCCTCCGGTTGTGCTGGAAAGCCCCGTGGTGGGAGCACCTGCCCGCAGCCCTGCTGCCGGGGGGGCTCCGAAGGAACCCAGCGCCCCTCATCGCGGCCTCGGGCAGCCGCAGCCCGGGGGGCGAGAGCCCGGCACCGCCGGGAGCTGACCTAACGCCGCTGCGGGGAGAAATTGGGTCGAAAAACGGGTAAATCGGTTGTGTCTGAACGCACTCGCACACGCAACACGACTACGGGCAGGTTTTGGCGAAGCTCCTCCGGCGTCAATGCGCTCCCGGGGCAAATCCTCGGGTCTTTCACCGTTTCCACTTTTATTCGAATGCCACAAGCGACCGGAACGGGCGGTCGGCGAGCGTTTATTTCAATGCTCATTATTTTTTAAGAATAAATTCCAATTAAATAGCGCCTGGAAACGGCAAGGCGCGCGGCTGCGGCACGGGCGAGCCCGACGGCTTCGCCCCGCTTTTCCCAACCGAAACGAAACGAAGGAAACTCCGGCGGGGGCTCAGCCACGGCCCCCGCGGCTTTGGGGCTGGATTCCCGCAGAGACGTTTCTGCCCTTGCCGCTGACCAGCAGCATCCCCGAGCTGTTATTATTATTTTTTTTTTCTCAAGTGCATTTTTTTTTAATTCTTTTCTTTTCGGTTTGCGGACGCAGGGACTCCCCGCGAGCTGCAAACGGCCGCTTTCTCCTGAACGCAGCGAGCAAATAAATACAGATCCCCAGCCAGTTGCGCTGCATTATTCCGAGGGAAATAGCTGGCATTCCTGCCCCGGTTTATTTTGGAGCCGAAATTTCCCACCCTTCCCGCAGCGCCGGTCCCTAGCGGGGCCGGGGCTGGGCGCCGGGACCCCGCCGCCGGTGCGGGGCTGGAAGCGGGCGTCGGGAGCGCTCCCGGGGCCGAGCAGGGCCCGATCCTGGCGGCAGAGGCCCGAGAGCAGAGCGAGAGCCCGGGGGAGACCGAGCGCGGCTTCTCCCCGTTTCTCCGAGGAGCAAAGAGCCGGCGAGCAGGGAGCCCCGCGCGTCCCAAGAGCAAAAAAAAAAAAAAAAAAAAAAAAAAAAGATAAGGCTGAAGTGGTTTCCTTGCTCTGGGGGAGGTGACAGGCACCGCACCGGAGCAGAATTAAATCCGCCAAATTTGCCGGGCCATGCGGACAGCGGGGGTGTAAGTGTTTTTTTTCCCCTCCTGCCTCCCCTTCCTCTGGTCGCGCCGACGGGGAAAATTAGGGAAAAGTGGTTTTTTTTGTTGTTGTTTGTTTTTTTTTTTTTCTTATTATTCTTCTTTCTTTTTTTTTCTTTCTTTTTTTCTTTCTTCTTTTCTTTCTTTTTTTCTTTTTTTTTTTTTTTTTTTGTCGTTTCCCGGCCCTCTGCGGGTCCCCGTCGCAAGGCCGGAGCGAAGAGGAGGCCCCGAGCCCCCGGGGACAGGCGGGGGCACGACTGCGTGGGGGCAGCCCGGGGCTGACAGGACCCCAACGGGACGGTGTGGGGCCGGATAAATGTCCTGGGGCCGGGTAAACCGCTCATGGGACCGGATAGCTGCTCGTAGGGCTCAGGGCGGCTCTGCACCGCCGGGAGGCTGCGAGCATCGCCCCAGCCTCGGCAGGGCACGGGAGAGGTGGGGAGAAGAGAGAGACCCCCTCCCCTCTCCGGTATTATGGGGTTTTGGTGCCAAGGAGGGAGGGAGAGCTCGCTGGGGGCACAAAACCCCCTCGCCACGTCCTCTGCTACCCGAAACCCCATATCGGAAAGCGTGCCGAGCCCTCCCCAGCCTCCACCGGCCGCCGGTTCCTGCGGGAAACCGGGGTCGGTACGAGGCGGGGGGGACACACACACTGCACCTCCTCCTCGAAGAGCCCCCAAAAAACACCTGGAGAGTGGGGGGGGGCAAAGCCGGGAGCCTCCCCCACCGGGGGCGGGGGGCGGGCGGTCCCCTCCATCCTTCCTGAGGGATCAACCCGGGGGGGGTCCCGGGACGCACCGTGCGGGGGTCGCGCTGCCGGGCTCATCATCCCGTGTGTGTCCCCCCCCCAGCGGGAGCGGAGCCTCCGGGCTTTACCCCTTCCCCCCCCCACCCCCCCGGCGGGAGGAGCCCAACCCCTGCCGGGACCGGGGTTACCCCGCCGGCCGTCACGTGGGGCCCGGGCCCCGCCGTAAAGAGCCGCCGCCGCCGCCCCCCGGCCGCCACTTCCCCGCCGGGCGCAGCCGGGGACGCACCCACGGGGGACGGACGGACGGACGGACAGAGAGGGACGGACCGACCGACCGAGTAGGGGGGGGGATAGCACCGGCCCCTTTCTGCTGAGAGGCCGCGGTTGTGTTTTTTCTCCCCACCCCCGGAAAGTTTTTTTTTTAATTATTATTATTCTTTTTATTGTTATTATTATTATTTTATTATTTTCCTGGGATTGCTCTGGATGGTCTGAGCGCAGCTTCATGCCCACCCGGCCATGCCCGGCTCCGCTCCCGGCCCGCTGCAATGTGAGTACCTGTCCCGGAGGAGCTGCCCGGGGAGTGGGGGGGGGTTACGGGGGTGGGATGCTCTTTTTGGGACCCGAGGTCTCCCGGCTCCGTGCGTCGCGGAGGACTTGTTTCGGTCGCTTTCTTTCGCTTTTCAACCAAAAAGCAGCGGGGGGGGGGGGGGGGGGACACCGGCGCTGCAAGCACGGCCCGCAGCTCCTCACCCGCCAGGGCCCGGGGCTCGCTCCAGGCCCGGAGCTCGGAAAAAGACGGGAAGAGAAAAAAAAAAAAAGAAAAAAAAAGATTAAAAAAAAAAAAGAAAGAAAAAAAGGGGAAAAAAAAGTTTTTATTTTTTATTTTTTAAGGACCCTTGGAAATGCCGGGGCCAGGGTGGGCCGTGGAGCAGAGGCCGGTTCATGCCGGGGCTCGGCCGCTGCTCTCAGCCTGGAGCCGCGGGTTCCCCCGCGGGATGGAGGGGAGCAGAGGGAAATTTAAGGGGGAAAAATAAAAATAAAATAAAATAATAATAGTAAAAAAACACATCTCCCTCTCCCCAGCTTGAGGCAGGAGAGTGGTGCTTTCACTGCTGGGCTGGAGGCTCCAGGAGTCCCAGCCCCACGGCCGCCAGGCCGGGGATGGGGTCAGGGGAAGGGATAGGGTCGGGGATGGGGTCGGGGATGTGGATGGGTATGGGACCGGGGCTCTGGCCTCGCTGAGCCGCGGCTCTGGGCTCTCCCTCCAGGTGCTTGTGAGTGAGCCCCTCGGCACCGTCGGGGCGCAGCCGGCCGGGCCCTGAGCAGCAGCCGCCGCCGCCGCCGAGGACGGACCATGTATCAGGGGCTGGCCCTCGCCCCCAGCCATGGCCAGCCGGCTTATTCCCACGACTCCAGCAATTTCCTGCACTCGTCGGCCGGCTCGCCCGTCTACGTGCCCACCACCCGGGTGCCCTCCGTGCTGCAGACGCTGCCCTACCTGCAAGGCTGCGAGCCGCACCAGAGCCACCTCGGCAACCCCCCGGGCTGGGCGCAGAGCAGCGGCGAAGCCCCTTCCTTCAACGCCGGCAGCCCCCACCCGCCGTCGGGTTTTTCCTACCCCCACAGCCCCCCGGGCAGCAGCCCCCCGGGCCGCGACGGCGCCTACCAGGGGCCCCTGCTGCTGGCCGGCGGGGGCCGGGAGCAGTACGGCAACGCCTTGGTGCGCTCCGTCAACGGGTCCTACTCCAGCCCCTACCCCGCCTACGTGACCCCCGACATTCCTCCTTCCTGGACGGCCGGACACTTTGAGAGCAGCGTGCTGCACAGCCTGCAGACGAGGCAGGCGGCTTTGCCCGGCCGCAGGTCCACCTTCGGTAGGTCGCCGTCGCCCTTCACCGTCGCCTCCGGGCGTCCCCTTCCCGGTGAGGAAGGGCTCCGTGCGCCCCCACCCCGGTCCTTGGAGCATCCCCCCAGTTCCGGGGTGAGCTGCCCCGACGGGAAAAAGAGGGAGAGGTTTTAGCTGGATGGAAAGCTGGTCCGGGCATGGGGTGCGCGGCTGGCTGCCCCCAGACGGAGGTGTTTTGTTTGTGTGTGTGTGTGCTTGTGTTACAAGGAGGGCAAAGAGCACGTTTCAAAGGAGAGCAATTCCCCTCTAGGACGGAGGAGCAGAGGCCGCTCGACACCCCCTTACCACCCCCCCAGCCCCCCCCCCCGCGATATCTCCTCCCCACAATATCGACTTTGTGTCTGGGCTTCAATACTTACCCTTGTGTTTAAATTAGCGGGGCAGATTTATAGCTCCCTCCCTTTTAAGTAATTTATTGTGGTAAATGAGTTTATATTCGAACAGACTCTCGGTCTCCTAATTCGCCTTCGCCCAAACAGGTCCGCAGCTGCACCGCTCCGCGGCCTTTGGGGAGGCAGGGAAAGGCAGCCAGGCGTTGAACAATAAACCCCACCACAATTCGTTTGCGCCCATACCGGAGAGCTCTTTTAAACCCAGAGCCGAGCAAACAAAGTTTTCGGGTCTTGATGTAAAAGGACCCTCCGTGTGCGCGGTTTACAGCCCCGGGGATATTTCCCCAGCCTCCTCCGGCGGTGCTTCGCAAAGCCCTTTAAAAGCCACTTCAAGATCTCAGCCGCGTTATCATCTTTACTGCGGTGAACCGAATTATCTTATCTTTACCCCAAGAACAAAGTAAAGCGGGGAGACAGCCCCCTCCCCGCCGGGCTGCCTCCCCGGCTCGGCTTTTCCTCCCACGCCGGGGATGCTCGGGAGCGGTTGGTTTCCCAGATTTTCTCTTTGTCTCGGAAAATCCGTTGTGTTGTGCCGGGACGGATCGCCCCGGTCCTGCCGAGGGAGGTGGTGGCGCGGAAAAATCTTCTACGCTTTGAATTTACTAGTTTGGGACCTGGAATAGAGACCGCCGTCCTCTCTGCCGTTTATTTTTGCTCTTGAATAGTGTAAACGGCTCTTAAGTGGCGTAAACTATTTTCTTTTTCATTTAATGAATTATTGCGACCTTTTTCTTTTTTACTTCTTACACATATATATTTTTTCAATTTATTTTTCATGTTTTTGTTTTGCCTTTTTTTTTTTTTTTTCTCCCGGTGGATCATTTTTAATACGATCGCAGATGAAAAAGGAAAAAAAAAAAAAAAAAAAGAGCGTATTTGCGGTTTTTTTTTTTAGAAAGAAAATAACTTTCGGGACGAAGGAAGTTATTTCAAAGACAGAAAGAAAAGCGGCAGGAGGAAAGAGCCCGACCTGAGGCTTTCGGTTGCGCCCCGGGCTGCCCGTTCGCAGCGCAGCGGCGCTCGGGCCGGGGGCCCCCGGGCAGCGTGCTGGGGCCGGGCGGCTCCGAGATTTCCTCGGAGAGGGGAAGAAAAGTCCGGAGGAGCCTGGCTACAGCGGGTTTGGGGTCGGGGGAGGCTGCCCGGTGCTCCTGCGCGCTGCGCGGAAGCCTGGTACGAGCCGGGGTTGCAGCGCGGATGGAGCCCTGTGCGCCCCGCCACCGGCCGGGGACCACCGCGCCTCGTTAGAGATAGGAAAAAGCCCCCCTTTTTTGTCCTCCCTCCCCGCTTTATCATCCCCGTAGTGTTCATTAAAAATAGTTTTACCTCCCAGGCTGTGCCCTGCGCGGGGATAATGCCGCGGATGGGCTCCCTGCCCCTTTCCATCCCCCGGACAGCTCAGTTCTGCTCAGGGGTTTTGGGGTGGGGATGGGGGAATGTGCTGCCTTTGAGCAAATATTGAGAGCTGAGGGTGTGTGGGGGAATAAAGGATTTCTTCCATGTTCTGCAAGGTGAAGGCAAGCTCCCGGCAGGCAGGGATTGTCCCTTGCAGAGGAGCAGTGGGGCACAGAGGATCGGGGACACCTTCCTGCAAGCTCTCCACGCTGCGGGTGGCACGGTGTGGTGGGCACAGCTCCTGACCCGTGTGCCTTGGGTCTCTCTTCCAGAGTATCTGGAGGAGTTCCCCGGGGACGGCCGGGAGTGCGTGAACTGCGGGGCCATGTCCACGCCGCTCTGGAGGAAGGATGGCACCGGGCACTACCTGTGCAACGCCTGCGGGCTCTACCACAAAATGAACGGCATCAACCGGCCGCTCAAGCCGCAGAAGAGGCTGGTAAGAGGGACACATCCCCTGCTGTACCCGGGGGTGGATGGAGGGCAGGATCCGGGGGGCTGATGCCCACGCTGTCGGGATCTCTGTGTCAGGGCCTGTTTGAGCCTCAGTCCTCCCCTGGGTTAAATGCTGTCAGTGCCAGCCAGAGGCCTTTGTTACGGGTCAGAGCGTGGAGATGAGTGAAGCTGCGGGAAATGCTGCTCTGGCACAGCCGGTGGCCAGCACGGAGATGGGGAGCAGGGACTGGAGGGGTCCCAGGCTGTGCTGTATCCAAGCAGGGCCAGACATCCCTGCCTGCTATTTGGGGATGTGGGGTGCTCTGCGAGCTTCTCCCAGCCCTGTTCCTACCATGGGCACTTTGCTTTCTTTCTATGACAATAATTGTTATGTCCATGCAGCCACGCAGGATCTAGGCAGGGTAGCTGAGGAGGAGGCAGGTCTGCGAGGGGAGCAGGATGGGGCACAGATGCCTGGAGCCCTGCGCTCCTAAGGGAGGATTTGGGGTTTGGTAGTTCCCAGTTTCTCTGCAGGTTAAAGCAGTAATTCCCCCCACATCGTGGTATTGGGCTTCCTCTAATTGGGATCCCATCGTGAGAGAGGACAGGCGCCTCCTTTTTTTGTATGATCGCTTTGGGATGTTTAAATTTGGTGGTAACAGTTTTGGTTTCCGAGTCTGTCATCAGAAGCAGTCATTACAAACAGGATGTTTGTCTGAGCCGTGCTGGGGAACAGCTGGGAGTTCCTTTTGCTTTCACTCTGGGTGTATTCCTGCAGTTATTTCGTGTGTCGCAAAACAAATTGTTAGCAGTAACCCAACAGTGGCAAGTTTCAGTGTTAAAAAAAATCATAAGAAACAAATTTGGGATTGAATAAACGATTTGTTCTGATTGTGATCCTGGAAATTTGGCTCTATTTGCAAAATGAAATGAGCAGTAGCTCCACAGAAAATCACACTGTTTTGTTCCATGCTGTAGCAATGTCACCAAAACCGATGTGTTTCTGAGAAATATTTTGCATTATCTTACAGGATTTGTGCGTCTCACCAAAACATTCCTGGTCTCTTTTAATGTAATTATATTAAATCTGCACCCCCAAATCTCTCCTGAGCTGCAGATCTCAGAGTTATGCTGCTGATTTTGTTGACGCAAATATGAGCTGTGTATTGAAAGACTGGTGCAAAAGCTTAAATCAAACTCTGCATTTCGGAGACTGGCATCAAAATGCGGCTCTGCCTGAATTTCCTGGACTCTTTAGAGCAGCTTTTCCCCAAGGCTCTGGGACAGGGCTTGCTGTTACCTGGTATTTTATTTCAGTGCATGGGAAGAGAGCCGGCCCCTTTGCATGCCTGCTGCGACGGTGGCGAGGCTGCGGCTGGAGCGGTGCCGGCACCTCCCCACAGGGCTGGGTACCTGCCCCACAGCACACGGCAGTATTTGGGGTCCCTGAGCCCCCTGCCTGCTCCTCTGTCACTGCTGGCACAGCCCCATATGTAGCAGCCATGAGGCATTTTTTTAGTAAACATTTCAGCTGTGTTTTTTTGGTGGAGAATGCTGGTTCACTGAATTAGGACTGCTGGCTTGTCCCCGTGAAACAAATATCAAAGCATTTCCAACTGTGTTATTATTTTGGCTATCAATACAATGATAAGGCCCACGTGAAATGGCTGATATCCTTATCCAGGGGAAACATTTCAGTGTTTCAGTGAAATACCTGATGGGATTTTGTTTTATAGAAAAGAGAAGGGGCTGCATTTTTGACTTTCCGCCCTGACTTTGAAATGAAACATTTCAAAATCTCGGATTTTTCCAAGGTTTTGAAATGCCGTTTTGCAACAAGTTGTGCTCCATCAGAGGAAGGAGGGCCCACTGCTGATGGATAAGAGGGTGCCAGGCATTTTCTACAAACCCACCACCCCGGAGATCTACCTGTCCTTGGGATGTTTCCCCAACCCCAAATCATTTCCACTGCCGGGAATGGTTTGGAGCACCATCCCCGCGTAACCCCACCCGCGTGGGCAGGGCGGGAGCTCACGGTGCAGGAACAATGAGCCAGGCTGTTTCACAACGCCATGAAATAGAGGCACAGAGAGGAAAAATGGTGCCTTTCGGCCTTTACGTTATGACCTTTGTTCTGTAGGCAGGCGCTGCGCCGCGGCTGTTCTGACTTCTGTGTTCACAAAGCAAGTCCCGCTGAAAGCCCTGGCAAATGCAACGTGGCACACGCGACCCCGCGGGGATGACGTCCTGTGGCTTGGTAGCACTCAGCCTGCTTGTGCATGGGAGAGGGCCAGCAGCAGCAGTGCTGTTTCCAGTTCATTTTTTCTTTTTTTTTTGTTTGTTTGTGATAAGGGCAGCATCCTCTAGGCAGCAGGGACAGCTGTTTTGCTACAGCCTGCCGCTGGACGCAAAGCACTGTGGCTTTCAGCAGAAAGGATTTCCCTTAGAGGAGGATGAGAGCAGCGCTTTATTTTAGCTTCTTTTCTAGCTAAAGTTCCTCAGCACGTTTCACAAGATACCTTAAATCCAGTCCTAAAAGCTGGATCACTTTTACCATCCCAGAGCAGCCCCTGGAGCTGGATGGCTCCACTCTTGTGCATGAAATTCCCCCAGTGTTAGGAGCAGAGCTGCAGCTCGTGGTGCAGCAGGGGGGGCAGATGCAGCAGCCGTCCTGTGCTCAGCAGCTCCCATCATCCTGAGGTGGAGAATTATTCTGGAAGTTAAATTTTCAGTTTTTGTGTCTTTGTTTTGTGGTATTTGGTTTTGTTTGTTTGTTTGTTTTTCCAGGCTGTCCTTTTTTATAGTTTGCAATACATGGATTTGGTGATGCTTTTGGGGAAGGTGGACATGGGACTGATCACAGCCCTGGTGCAATCTGCTGGGATCCCAGAGCCGTGCAGTGTTCATGGTTTGTGCTTTGGCTTTCTCCTGGCCATCATTTCCTGTGGTTCACTTCTCCTCCGAGGTGCCCAGAGCCACAACAGCAAGGCCGTATCTCAGACACTGCTGCTGCTTGTGGCTCTGAGCCTTGGAGCTGCCTGCTTCCAGGAGCTGAGCAGGGGAATCTCAGCACATTTTGCTGCAGCCTCTTTCCTACCGACATCAGCTCCCCTCTGTCCTACTGGCAAGGGGGACAGACAATCTTCAATTAAACCCTCAGGAGGTTCAGAGGCTTCTTTTCCCCTGTGAAACCCCATGGTTTGTTCTCTACTCCTGAAGAGCAGACAAAGCACAATCCCTTATGGCTTTGGGCCTCCCCCTTGGAGGGACCTGCCCTGCTTGGCCCCGAGTTTTCAGGCTGCCCAAGCAGCACCCACACGGGGTTGATGCGATAGGCACCGGCTCCTGATTCCTCGAGCTTATCGGCAGCACTTGGCTGTCAAGCCCAGTCCGTGAGGAGTTTTTGTTTGAGTGTACGGTGCATTTGTATAAATAAACACTGGAGCACAATGTTGAAGTCAACAACTTCCTAGACAAGGTCAGAGCGGTACAAAGGCAGAGGGGTGGAGGCAGACAGCAATGCGCTTTCTTTTAAGGGAACTGCTGGGAAACCAGCAATAACATATTGTACCTCCGTCCTTCAGTGAGCAAAAGTAGCCTTGACTGTCTCTTTCTTGCCAGACTGGCAAGTTGTGGTGTAGGGCCAGGTTCTCACTGGGTTTCTGGGTTTTAAATTGTGATGTCTGCCCAAGGAGGATGGCCTCTGCCGTGCCGGGCTCTGCAGGGAGGAGGCAGCCCACAAAGCACAGTACAGAAGATGCAGATGGAGGTCTGCACTGATGCCCCAGTGGACAGCACAACGTTGTGTGACATCAGGACAGCACGTCCCTTCCTCCCCGGGGCTGCCCAGAAATTTTGGGGCTTTCCAAAGCGCTTTGCATTGGCCTTCCTCCATCCGCAGGTGCTGACAGATCTCACCAGCCCCTGCCAGGCTCTGATACCGCAGGGCTGAGTGCCTCCAAATTCCCCCTCACACCTGTGGCACCCCTGGGGCTGAGGTCCCTCCTGGTTGCAGGGATGAATGACCCAGCCATGGTAGCTGAAAGGTTTTGAGAAAGCTCTGTAATTGGTCCAGGATCTTGCTGTGACACCGTGTCCCATGTTACGGACAAGAATTGCTGTAAAAACCTCCTCTGTGCCAAGCTTGTCCACTCACAGCTCAGCATATTATTATTTTTGGTTATTTCTTGAAAAGCAAATCATTTTCCAAGCAGTATCATTATTTGTGAATAGTTGCTGAGACCTCTTTGCAATCAGTGAATCAAAGCTTGGGCACGTCACTCGTGTCTCTTGAAACTCAAAGCTGATCTCTGACTGCTAACCTTGTAAAAACATTTCATTTTTATCCCGACGCACCCCACTTCATTCATCATATTGATTAGTTATGATATCAAGCTGGTAATGGAAAAATAAACAAACAGGGAGTTCGTTATTGCCTGCATCACCTATCATCTGTCTTTGAGAAGAACCAAAGTGATTTTTCTCAGTGCTGAAGAATGTATTCAAATACCTGAATGTGCAGGGTCTGCGATATTACTTACATCGCTGGTATCTTTGTGCGTCTTGAAGCCTCTTATTAAAATAGTTCAAATGTGAAGAGTTTAGAGACATTGAAATGAAATGCTATTAAGCTGACAAGGAGACTTGTGAATTTTCCAGTGGCTTAGAGTACAGTTGTCAGAAATTAGCTTGCAGCTTCTGCCAGAATATTTCCCTTCTTCCTTTGGAAATGCGACCGTTTCGGAGCCAGCAATCACTGCACTCACAAAGTATGTCATTAGTTAATGTTTGCACAGTGTTCCTGCAGCCAGTAAGGGATCAGATTATCTGGGAGACGTGCAGGGAAAAACCCTCCTCATCCCATCACGGGCCAGTTCAGCTTGGTTCTGCTCAGCTCAGCCAATTAATTCCAGTGTCTTAAAGCAGAGATTAATCGGGACATTGCTAACTTTAGTGGTAGCTTTGAGTGCAGAAGAACAGAAATAAAGTTCAGTTAAAGCAACAGCAGCTTTCCGCAGCAGCCATTGGAGTGCTGAAGGCCTGGCAGGTATTTTCTTTTTCCCTGAGCGGGTCTCCTGGACAGAAGTGCTCTGTGCTCCCAGTTTTGATCAGTTCCAGCACACTTACTGGGAGTTTGTGAAAAGGATCGGGAGGACATTTGCCAGGTTTATCGAGCTCAATAAATAAAGCTCTTGCAAATTAGAGTGTTCACATTTGAATGTAATTTCTTTCTGAATTTGGCTATCTTTCACGTTTCACGTTTTCCAGGAAAGCATTGTAAATGGGGATTTTATTTTTGTAGGAAAGGAAACTTCCCAGTTTGACATTTCCATGTGTGCACTCACATGTCTGTTTGCTTGCCTTTAAGTCTTCATCCAGACGTGCTGGGCTATGTTGCACTAACTGCCACACAACCAACACCACCCTCTGGAGAAGGAACGCCGAAGGGGAGCCCGTCTGCAATGCCTGCGGGTTGTACATGAAGCTTCACGGGGTGAGGAGCACGTGCATGGCATGAGGGACACGTGGGGTGCAGGGCTGGGACTCTGGGGTTGGAGGGGACAGCCTCTAGAGCAGACCCAGAAGAGCCATAGACCGGTGCTGTTCCCTTGGACAAGCTCATTCTACTGCAGTTACCCAAAACAAGGTTAAGGGGGAAGTGGAACACTTTTGGGAGGTACCTGTAGAAGAGATTTCTGGCATTGTGTGGCTCTTAATCAGCTCGTTTGCCAAGAGTTACTAAAAAAAAAAAAAAAAAAAAAAAAGAAAGAAAGAAAGAATAAAGAAACCATGCCTGACTCCAGTAGCTGGGGACTGAAGCTCCCCAAATGCAGACAGGAGACAAGGGGCGTTTCTCTGCTAGGTTGGGTACTTAAGCGATGTGTGGAAGATGCTAAAGAGTCTGCCAGGAGGTTGGCTGATAACATTCAGCCACGATGGATGGGAAATGTTGGTAACATACCCATGATCCAAGAGGAGGCTTCACCCCTCCATGCAGGCCTCTTGAAGCTTCTGCCGTAAGGGTTTGAGTCTCTCTGTCCCATGACTGCTCCCTCCGAGTCCTGTAGGCCCCAGCTGTCGGAGCAATTTAGTAGGGCCCTGTCATAAAGGTCACCAATAAATCAGGAAAAGGAAAATAGGAAATAAAGGAAAAAACAAAATTTGTGGGAAAGCCTTAGCTGTTAGCCTTATACATCTTCCAGCCAAGGCCTGTCGCAGAGAAAAATAGCACTCAGTGAAGGACAAGGACTTTAGGTGCTCTGCATGAAGTATAGCATGGAAATAGGAAGGCAACACGTGTGTGGGAAGGAGATGAGTAAAATACAATATTAATGATTCCAAACCTTATGAATGTCAAGGTACCACGACCTCTGGCCATGAAAAAGGAAAGCATCCAGACAAGGAAAAGGAAGCCTAAAAACATTACCAAAGGCAAAACCTCGACAGGTATAGTGCTGCGACCATCTGTCCCGGGGACTTGGGGCACAGTTCATCTCACCAGTGTTCATTCTGCAAGAAACTGTGATTAGGATAAAATCATATTGGGATTTTTTTTTTCCCTGATGACTGCTTTAGCTATAGTGCCTTTGTTTAAGCACAGCCCTCAAGTGAGAGAAGTATGTGGGGTGAGAAACCTCATTGGTGTCACGTCCCCACAGGGATCCCATGTGCTGTGGGCACCCGGTTCCAGCCCCGCAGCACCTGGGTTCCAGCAGGTCTGAGCTACAGTGGGCAACAAGAAAAAAAAAATAGGGGCTGGGAGTGGAGTGGTTAGGAGTTAGGAGAGTTTGTGACACGTTGGGCATCGGCCCCTCTGGCCTGTGCAAGGACCCGCACGGCCAGGATGGGAATGGGATCTCCTCCATCAGCATCGTGGCAGCCCAAAGAAGCCTTACCCTGGTGGAGACAAGGTGGAGAAGGAGAGTAGCAGAGCTGTGCCATGTGATATGGTGCTAGACATTACAAAATAGATCCCCTTAGGGGCAGATTTGTGCCTCTTGTATTTTCTTCATTGTCCTGTGCTCGTTGTCCTGCAGGATCTACAACCTCGGCCACGAACTCCCCTTCTTCCATTACGAACTCAGACAGCACGGTCACTTTAAAGTCCGAGCCCAGCACGACCTCGCAGTATCCCGGACAAGCCATCGTGGCAGTGTCCCAGGTAAGGGGACAGGGCTGTCACCCGCTGGGGTGGGTGCTCCACCTGCCTCCGTAATTGCTGAGGACCTTGACAAGGCTGAATGACTTCCTAATTGCACTAAGGGGCACCCAGTGATCTGCAACCCTATGGAGTCAGTGGGATCAGCCCTGGGTGGAAACCTCTGTAGTTCCTAAAAAAAAGACTGCCTGGCCATATATTATCTGTGCTTTATAGCCCTGATTGCTTAGAGGCTGAGGGCAAACTCACACTTCTGCCATGAAGATTTGCTGTGCAGGGTGGTATTTCAACTTTGTTTGGGAAAAAATGGCTCTAAGTCATCCCGCAGGTGGACATTTTTTCCCCCGTGTTATCCCCGTGCGGGGTTTAAGCCCCGTCAAGCTGGACATGTGTGCAGGGGGAGCTCAGCCCCAGAGCCTGAGCACCAGGCACTGTGCCACGGGAGAGATTTTTTGGCTGAAACGGGTAAATCTGATTTGTGCTGTGCTCTTAAAAAATAGACATGCACTTAGAGATGTCTGAGCTGGACACTTTCAGTCAATAAATAACGGGCTGGCCCTGGGATGCCTTCTCTTGGCCTGCTGCTCGCTGGGCTGGGGACAGAGCACTGCTCCTGGCCAGCCTCCGACACACGGGATGAGACTCAGGGATAATGCACTGTGTCCATGACCTGTCACCATCCTACCACTGCGTTAGGATAAGCAGGAGAACTACCCTTAGCTCATAACAGGCTTTCTAATGGCTTCTTCCTTCCCTCCCGGGGCAGGCGCAGAGCCAGTCGGATGAAGCTTTGGCCGGCAGCCACGGCGAGTTCAAATTCGAGCCCGAGGACTACCCCTTCTCCCCCAGCAGCATGGCCCCACAGCCGGGGCTGAGCGTGCCGCTGCGGCAGGACTCCTGGTGTGCCCTGGCGCTCGCCTAAACCCCCTTGGGGCCACCAGCCTGGGCACCGTGCGTGTGGCTCGCCCCACTGGGAGGACACCGGCTGCCCCAGCCGCCACAGGACAGGCTTCTCTCAGAGGACATGGGTGGAAAAGGACAGCTGGATGAGGCACCCAGAGAGCTCTTCCTTGGCCGAAGTGACCCTGAGCAGCCTCCTCGAGGCCGCCTCCGTGTTCCCCGGGAAAGCCTTCCTCCTTTGAGATGCAACCAGCAAATAAATGCATCCCAGAATCTATGTTTATTCGCAGTGATTTCTCCCTCCTATGACTCCTCTGTGTGCAATTTATTCCACTTTCCAATAAAGACTGTAATAACGTGGCACCAAATAACTTAATTTTATTAAAATGTAAACTGCGTGGCCTCCCTTCTGTTTTATTGGCCACAATGGGGAGAAGAAAAAAAAAAAAAAAAAAGAAAAAAAAAGCAATGGTTGTTTTGAACATTTACTGTTTTATATTAAAAATGATCATCTCTATAGAGTGTTAGCTTCTGAAGCATTTAGTGTATCAACACCGAGCTGATGAGTCATACATGAAATAAACACGCCGCTCTTCCCGTCCCGGTTCCAAAGAAGGATTTTTTTTATTATTATTTTAGGCAAACCACATGACAAAAATGGTCAAAACCTCCCAGTAATAAAAGAATGCTGAAATGTTGTTTTTCTTTTGTATTTCCTGATTGGTTTCAATATTGCCAACTCCAAACATTACAAAATAGGAATCGGCCTTCCAAAAGTTACGAGAAAGGCTCGAGGAACTGAAAAATAAACGCTGTGTTGGATGTACTTTCTGTTTGCAACTGGTTTCAGGCATGTTTTAAATGAAAGATTTCCATTTCATCTGTGCAGGTCAGAGATTCTTTTTCCACTTTTTTAAGGAAAGCCTAGCAGGAATTAATTTCTTGGAGCTGAGCTGCAGCAGATGACAACCCACGTCCATGCTTCCAAAGGCTGGCACCAGTTTGTGCCTGCAGCGGTGCTGTGCACACGGGGGTCTTCTCACCTTCCCCGAGCCCCCTCTTTCTGAGCATTTATTGCTGGGATCACATCAGTGCTGCCGAGGGCTCGGTGAGGGTTTTGGGGTTAGGCTTTACGTGGGGTGGTGGGAGGACAGGGGGCTCGCAGCTGCCCCGGGGAGGTTGGCGATGGGAGAAATGCTCTGCTGGGGGCCCTGAGCAGCCCGGGGTGAGGAGAGGACGGCAGCAAGCAGGGGAGATGGGTGGGAAATGAAGGGGGAGTGAGGTCATGGAGTTACGTCTGAGGCCTGCTTTATTTGTTATTTCTAAATAAAAACCCCAGCCTGGCTGGACAGCTATTTATGGCCAGGAAGCCGTCAAGTAATAGTTCCTTAATATAGAAGTTGACCTGTCCAGGGCTTCCTGGAGCAACTCTTCCTCTTGTCAGAAGAGATGGATCGCTTGATTTTTATTATAAACAGCTAAAGACGATCGGGGAGAGTGAAATCTGGCATCAGGTCACAACTCATCTGAGATGGAGGATGGTGCTTGCCACCACACAGCCCTCTCTGGGGGAGAGCAGATGCTGCAGGCACCGGGCAGGATCGGTCCCCTCTGAAACTGCTGGAGCTTGGTGTGACCTCTGCAGCCACGCTGTGACTCTTAGTGGGCACAAGGGGTTCAACCCATCCTTTCAGCAAAGCCCATGGATGAAAGCTACCTTCGAGGGGTTTTCTTGTGTTTCCAGAGCCTCATTAGTGGCTTACATCACACCAAGCCTGGAAATGTCATGGAGGAGCACCCAGACCCACTGCCTGCAGTGGCAGGCTTGGCAGTGGCACTCTGTGTTTGCACAGTGGGTTCTCGGTGCTGCTCTGCATCCCCACCGTTTGTTTTTCCACTCCTTGAGCTGCCAATACCCACAGCACAGCCACGTGTAGCCCTGCAGTGAGCAAGCCAGCAGCTTTCTCCCAGCTCCCCAGCTTCCCCCAGCTCCCGGCAGCGTTTTGCTCTCACCAAGGACAGGGGCTCACCATCACCTCCCCACTTCTGTGGCAGGAACTTGCTTTGTTCATCCCAAACACAGCCCTTGGGCTTTGCACTGCAGAGCTGAGTCTCTGCAGGGTGAGCAGGGTGACACTCACCCCAAATCTGACCCTAAGAGTGCCCCTGGGAGTCAGGGAAATGGGTGCTGTGCCCCGAGCATCAGGGAACAGTGGGTGTCCAGCTTGATGTGTCAGGGCATGGGATGGAGGGAGCGAGAGCCCACAGTGCATTGTGATCAGCATTCCCGGGCACCTTCCCAAATCCCATATTTGCCGTCACAAAAAGGCAGCACAAAGCCACGACGAGATGATTTCTGCGGACGATGGCAAGGGGTCCTCGCTTTCTCGTCTGCATGACCCCGAAGGGGAGAGTTATTTTAAAGGCAAACAAGAAGACCCAAACAATGCCAAGATGTTGACACCAGTGGCTCCAGCAGTTTTATTTATTGCCTGTTGGTAACTGTTGGCTGGCCGTCGGGATACGCCGGGGCCTGGTGGCTGACAAAACGAGGCAGAGCGACAAGAAGTGAAACAATCGGGATGTGTGTAATTTTTCCTTCCTGCTCGCTCCCTGCACTCACTGGACGGCATCGTCCACGAGGCTGGCTTTGTATTTCTCTGGGGTGTCTTCCAACCTTTTGCTCCCATCCCCGAGCCAGGAGCCGTCCCTGCAGACCCTGCCTCCTGGTCTTCCCTAACAGAAACCTAGCACTGCCTGTGCAGCCCTGCAGGACAAGGGAGCACCTTTTCTTTTCCAGCTCTGCACCCCGAGAAGCTCACCCTGTGCAGGTCCCAGCAGCCACGTCCAGGAGCACTCCTGCACCCTCTACCCACCACCTTCCCAACCTGCCATTTTGAAGACTTTCCTAGGGGGCCCACATACCTCTGCACCCCCCTATTAAGCACTAAAAAGGAGCATTTGACCCAATAGGTCTGAAAAAAAAAAAAAAAAAGAAAAAAAAAGGAAATTTTGGGTTTCCCCAGCTCCTGCTGTGTCCTCAGTCCCGCTCCACAGCCCTGCTCAGCCCGTGTATTTGTAGGAGTTTGAGTGGTTGGGATGGCAGCGATGGAGGAGATCAGAGCCTGCTTGTCCCTGCCTGCACAGCTCCACACGAGGCAGATTTGCAGATGTGCTTCACAGATTGACTTTTATTTCTCCTTCCCAAACCTTTCTCACTCCCCTCATTGCTCTCCCCTTCCCAGGCATGACCGTGTTTGCTCTCCTGCAGGTCTGGCTGCTTGTGGGCAATTATTATCTTTACTGTTGTTGTACAGCTGCCTCCGAGCTATCAATTGCCTTTGTTCAAAGGTTACCTGCCCAGATGATTTTACAACACGACTACAATGATCTGTTCCATTTTGCACTTTATACTGATGCCACAGTGATTTTTACCAAGTCAGCGAGTGAGTAATGAAGCACTTGAGCCTATAAACACATGTTATTCTTGTTTATGATCATATTAATAGCACAATAAAATCACTGCTCACTCAAGCAGTTGCTTTCAAGAGAAAAAAAAAAAAAAAAAAGTTTGTTTCTTTTTTATTTCCGCATGGAAAATGGAAAGCTGAGGCTTAATTTCTGCTGGGAGCCCAGCAGCCGCAGACTCTCTAATGGGGTGTCACTTCTGCGTGGGAGCACCAAAAGCCGTTGTTTTTTCTGTATTGTGCACAGAAATCTTCAGCACAACTTGTGTGGCAGCTCAGCCTGAATGGCAAATGCAGCTCAGCTGCAGGCACTTTAACTCTCCTGGCTGCTCCTTTACATGGTTTGGGGACACACGTGTCCCCAGGTGTGCTCCCAAATCAGTGGTTAGGCTGAATGATGCCAGCTGAGGGCTGAGCCCATTGTGGTTATAAGAGGATGGGAGCACAACCTTCCCCTTCTTGGTGCTAATATGGAGCCTGCCTGGGGGTAATGGTGTGGATCTGCATTTTTTTTCCAAAAATAAAATGAAAACAAGACTGTGAGCCAGGTATGGTACTGCTATGGGGCTGAGGGGGGTTTAGGTGTCTTCTTGGTGGTTTTGGAGTACTCTGGAAGTGCATTGGGAAGCATGGGTGAATTCACTAGTACTTCCCAGGCCTTGTTCCTTGCTCCTCTCCTGTGCTTTTATGGCTATGTTGGTTGTGTACCAGGCAGGAAAACAGCCTGTGTCTCAGTAATTAAGTGTCCAAGCCCCTTACCTCTGCAGCAGTTAAACCTGAGCTGAATATTCAATCTCACCATTGTATGCGTAGGAGCAGAAGACAAACAGCACCGCTCCTTTTATCACCTCAGGTGGTCCTTTGTGGAGAAGGCTTCATGGCCAGGAGGTGCTGTCCCCAAGAACCTCTCCTGTTCAGCATGAATTTACATTGAATAGCCCCAAACCATTTAATGTGGAGTAGTAACACCTTTTTCAAAGGGCTTCCAAAGGAGCTCCTCCTCAAGGAGAGGCTTGGTGAGAAGAAGCACATACCAGAAAGGCCCTTGTTGAAGGCAGCACTTCCCCATAGCCTGCTGTTTTCTCCACAGGCTTGATCTTCCAAATGTCAGTAAAACTTCTGCCCAGCAGTACGACCAAGGAGAACATGCTGTGGGTATGGTATGTGTTGGGCGGAAAGAATAGTAGTGGTGGTGAACTGCCTTTATAGTCAAAACTGGCAAAAAAAAAAAAAGCTTTATCCACAGTGCTCTAAGGCTGCCAGGGCTGTAAGCATTTATTGGCCTTTTTTCCTGTTCTTGCAAGCTTTCTTTAGCGTCATTGAGAGATACATTAGTATTGGAATTTAAAGAAAGAGTTTTACAACCAGTGCTTCCACGGCAGCATTAAACATGGCCAGGAGCAGACCTTGACTACTGTGGTGTTTGATAACGTCAGGGTCTGAGCTGCCTCCAGGGCCAACCCCTCCTCTGGCATGGGGCAGCAGTGCTGAATCTTCTCCCTTATACACCTCTAACCTTGTTACCAGGTGCTGTTATACTGGTGGCAGGATAAAAGAGGAGGAAAGTGGGTAATTGTTATAATTCAGGTCTTGCCTCTGGTGCACAGCTAGCTGCTTCGTGGTGTGTGAAAGGAGCACTCAGATAGGGATGCACACCTGGGGAAAAGGGTGGATAGAAAAAAGATTGCTTCTTATTTACTCCTTCCAATGAAGCAAGTGGTTTAAAGCAAACAGTGATGGGAACTTCCAGTTGTGGTCCCTTGTTTCACCTGTTTGCATCTGCCCTGCTCCAGGGCAAGGTGTGGGATTGGGACTACCCCAGAGGCTGGATAGGAGGAGAGGTGGGCGCAGATGCATGCAGTGCAGGGCTCCAATGTTGCTGTCACTTCAGGTGTTGGCAGCATCCTTCCCATCTGTTCACTCTTTGCTCGTAATAAAAACAAAATAGCTCTGGCTTGTGGAATGAATGGAAATGATGCGCATTTAGCTGTAGGAGCCTGTTATTAACACCTGGCAGTGGAGCAGTGCTGATGCTCCTTCTTCTTCCTGCTCTGGCCTTAGCAAGGTAGGAAAATAGTACTGGAGAACTCACCCTGCTGTGTGAGCAGGACTGAGGTGAGGTGGAATTGGCCATGTTAATCATTTACCTTGAGGCCAATGGAGGCTGTAACAGGTGCTCTGTGTATATAGGGATCTGCAAGCATAAATGTTCGATGGGGAAGCTGCTGCTCAAAGGGCGCTGCAAAGCGGCCTTTTGGGGAGGCAGTTTGCTCAGATCCACCTTTGTTTGCTTTGCGGGAGCATGGCCCTGTGCCACGGTGCTCTGTCACCAGCAGGGCTGTCACCGTGGGACAGTGTGGATGGGGACCACGGGACAGCTGCCACTCCTGGGCCTGGCCTTGACAGCTCTACTCCCTGATTAATAAAGCTCCATGCCAAATGGGAGTGGAGAGCTTCTAGAGGGCGATGGTTACTGCTGAGCATTCGGGCATAACCACGGTGTTTCTGAGTGTCTCTCCAAGGAAATTCAGCAGGAGGAGCGTAAGCTTGCTTTTCTGTCATCCTACAGTGCTTAAACCTTGCTATATCATGGATATGTTTTCTATGCTTAATAATACAGCTACAAAATGGCTGGAATTTCAGTTCCACTTGAGATTCACTAGGTACTTGAATGTAACTGAACATGTCACCATTGTTTTCATTCCACTGTCACACATGCTAAGCCCAGGCTGTCATTCCTCCATAACCCTGTTCATCCCAGCCAACTGCAACTCAAACCTCACCGCCTTCAGCTGGGTGCAGTGGTACCCCAACACATGGCCCAAAATGGGCCTTCTCCAGGAGCAAATCCTTCCTGCATTGAGATGTGCTGTCCCACAAGAGTCTGTAGAAAGCCCAGGACAAAAACAAAGGGTAAGAGGACACTGTTCCTGGACCCATTTCTCCATTCCAGAGCTTGTTCCAAAATCCAGTCTAACATCCATATAAAAGGGTCTATGAGCACAAGCCTTGTGTGCCAGCTTTGCTCTGTGCTCAGGGAAATGTGGTGTCTGTGATGCTCAGGACATCCCAAAATGTCCTGTGGCCTCTCCTAGAGGAGGCTGGGGTCCCAGTAAACTGCTCCCAGAGTCTCCATCCCTGCAGGAAACTTGGTCTCATCAGTATTCCCTGGGCAGGTTTTGCTCCATGCCTAGGAGTGATTGGCAGTGGCTTGAGGTTTGCTTTTAAATCACACAGCTTTGCTTCATATTAAAACATGATTAGAAAGGATTTAGCAATTTAAAATATTAATAATGGATAACTCATTTCCAAGCAGTGAGTTTTAATAAGTGTGCCTTTTTGGATGGGCTCTGCTCAGAGGTTATTGACTTTGACATTGCTGCTTGCCCTTATGTTTGGATAAAGAAGCAGGGTTTGTCCCCAGGCTGTATCTTTTCCCTGCTGCACGGGACTGCCCTGGGCACCCTCGTTTCAGAGCTGCCTTTACCTTTGAAGAGTGAATGGCTGTAAACCCAGAAGAGAGGAGCTCCACCTGTCCCACCACACTGAGGTCCCTGGGTGTTCGAGGTAGGGAGCACTTGGCCTGCCCTTGCCCCTACCATGGGATCCTGTACCTACATCTTGCAGATAAAGCTGTGGAGGAGAAAAGCATTACCTCACATGGTTGTGGTGCTGGCACCCTGCACAGGTTGAAGACATGGGTCTGAGAGGTTGTCCTCAGGAGCACCAGGCTGCACAAGGTCTCTGTGCTTGCAGAGTTTTGTCTTTTTTTTTTTTTTATTATGTCTGTGGTTGCTCTGAAATGAAGATACCTCTTGGCTTTTTTCTTTCTGGCTTGGTTTTCCTTTCTGGCTGGGTTTGTGCATCACCAATCATTTTAGCTACAGTGGTGTCAATGGGGCTTGTAACATAACCACAAAATCAGTTACATCTGGAGTGCGTTGAGCAAGGTCACTGGGGATGGAGTTCCTTTTGTTTTCTAAAGGCAGTCTGAATAAATGGCAACCAAGCCCTCTTGCATTTGCGGGAGGCGAAAGCCAAAAACAAAACCACAATAGTATCCGTGTTTTTCAGTTAAAACAGCTGTCATCTGCTCTTGTAATGAAATTCAGTTTTATGTTTTTTTAAAGAAAAACAGGCTGGGGATCAGTCCATAATTAGTAGGAAATTGGTTTGGGTAGAATAGGAATCTACTTATCTCCTCATCAGAAACCAAATCTAAACAAAAGCAGAATCTGATTCAAGGTTTATAAGCTTTTTAACTGAGTATTTCGATGCCTCCAAATTTCCCACTGGATCCAGAAGTAGAATTTGTGTTTTTTTTAATGTCATTGGTTGCTTAGTCCTGCTCAACCAGGAAACTTGAGGACTTCCTTGGGAGGTTTCTTGGAAGACTGGCACACATTTTAACCACTAATGCCTTTTTGAAGAGGTACAATTGGGCTGCAGAAAACACCGCAGGCAGGTTATTTTTCCACCCTGGGACAGGCTGGACAAATGTGTTAATTCATAAAGCATGCTGTGTTCCTGCGAATTGCCAGCTTGGGTCTAGGCTTCAGCCAGCTCCGAGTGTATCCTCAGAGCAGAGGCTTATCTCGGGAGCTTCCTGAGTCTGCAGAATTGAATGAAAGTCTCACCAGGAAAAGTGGTTTGTTTTGCTTTTAGTTTGTTTTGTAAGAAAGCTGAGAGTTTCCCTTCCCAGCCAGGTCTGAGTGACCGCTGCGAAGCTCACATGCTTCAGTGCTTCAGATCCTCAGGCCCTCTATACTCCTGAATACGTTAAAAATAAATACAAGTAAAAATCCAACTATCCATTCTACATCTTCCACTGAAATTGAATTTTAATTTAGATATAATTTGGGAAGAGGCTGTAAATGTGCAGTCCTACCAGTTGATTTCCTTCCCTCTCCCAGAGATTTTTGTGCCAAAGTGAGGTACAAGCACAGAATTACAAATCAAACATCTGGATTTGGCAGTTGGGTGGTTTCATTGCACAGACAGCTTGGGCATTTGCTATACCTAGAATCAGGTTCAACAGTCCAATTTAATTTGTTTTAAACAAAATCTGCAAGAAATCCCCCAAATGATAAACATTTGCTGATGAAGATAAATATCAGCATTGCAGTTTAAAGTTTCTCCTGATTTAATACTTGGTTACATCGTCACATGCAGAGTGCTGCTGAGAATAAATGCAGGAAAAAAAAAATCCAAAGAAACCAAAGGTGTTTGACAAGTCTTTGCTATGAAACTCTGGTAAAATGTTTAATTTCCAACTTCTGGGCTTGGTTCCTTGCATCTGTACCCTGTGGTGATGGGAACAGTTCTTGGCATCATCCTTGTGTAAGTGGTCATTTGTCATGCTGTTCTGTTGGTGATGGAGCTGAGCTGCAGTGAGGCAAAGTGACTTGACAAAGGTCCATTGGGAGGTTGGTGGCAGGAATGGCCACGGTTTCTGGTCTCTGGACTTTGTCTTGGAATTGAAGTTTTTTTAAAAAAATAAAGTTAAGCTTGGCTTGTGTCTGAGAAATGTGGCCACTGGTGGGGTCAG